AATTTTTTTGTATGTTTCGATCCTCATGCATCGACGTCGCCCTCGACGTCGATGGCACCGCCGACATCCCCTCGCCAAGTTATAATCCCTAAAACTCAAAATTTTGTCCTCGACGCTTGTAACGCGTCGGAAAACTGCCCATACACGCTTTTCTTAGCGTGGTAGGAGGGAACCTAATATATGTTTTTCTTAGCGTGGCAGGGACAATTTTAAGTACATGTGTACGAGCTTTAATGCCAGCAGGGAAAAACTGTGCATTTCAAGCAGGTATCTTGAAGACCCATACACGCTTTTCTTAGCATGATGGGAAGGTCCAGCTCTCCAAAATTCCCCTAAACAAGGGAGATGCCAGTTTGCTTTCGAAATTTCCGATGTACAGAGAACCTGACTTGAACAACAATACAGGGGACTTGAACGAAATGTAGGCAATAGAACATGAACTGAACAGCAGGGAACCGGACCTGATAATTAAAATAAAACTGCAACTTGTAAAATAATAAAAAACAAATACAAATATTCAAGAAATGGCTCTTAGTGAACAAGCTCACAGTGCATACAAATTATAAGTAATAAAATTTAAGCATTCAACTAACCAAGTTGCAAGTGAAGGCTAGTAACTTGTAGACACTACAAAGGGAGGATTTTTAATGAATGTGCTAACCCACTAAAGAAGCCTTAAGCTCAAGATGAATGTGGTTCCCCTATAGTCAACACTAATAACATACAATCAGATGTATCAATCTCATACGAATATTGGAAAACTGATGTGCAATAAACATAGCAACTTGCTAACCAACATGCATGAAGAGGTTGGAAGCGAATGTAGCTTGATCGAGAGTCAACAACAGTGTGAAAATGAACACACTAAACATATCTACAAATGCTATGCGCGCAGCAGTTCCCACAAACACTGAAAGAGGTACAAGTGAATATAGCAGCTCGCCAATCAACATGCATAGGGAAATCAGTGATAAGTACAGGTCACCCGGCCGCTCACATTGATACGCAACGAGCGCTTCAACATCCCTTCAACCAACATCAGCTAGTTAACAAATAGAAGCGGCAACCCCCTAGAGACGTTAAAAATCAATGTGCGATGAATGCATCAACTCACTTGCAAACAACATGGCCTCTTGCAAACACCCACAAGAAGCAATGATAACAGATATTCTGGGGGAATATTGAGTCCTCTATGAATATAGATACGTATGCAAAGTGATATTTACGAGTAGGGACTGAAGATCGCAACAAATATAAGAGGATTAAAGTAGATGCATACGCCTATGAATTATTGTGGAAAACATTTGCAGTTAACAACCATACTGATAAAGAAGCGCTCTCATTTTTACATTGGACTCGAAGATTTTGTTGATCAAGTACAACTAAGTCCTCCAAATCGATAAGTTCAGAGGTTCTAATAGTGACAGTTGGGATAAAGAAAGGCAACTTAGTGTAAGGAGAAGGAGAAAGCCCGTCGACATATTACCAAAGGAAGGTCCTAACTGTAGCACTAAGCATGCAAGATTGAATGATTTTGGATTAGTTGAAAAGACATCACGATGGGAGGGCACACCAAAGCTGATTTGGATGGAAATACCATTGAGACTTGCATATTTTGTCATCTTGACAGAAATATTGAGGCTTTGGAAGAAATGTCGCAAGATGAAGGAAAAAAATCAGGAGATCAAGCTTCACAACCTAATGTCCTACACGTGCATCATTAAATATTTCAGTTGTAACTTGAAGGGAGCTGCTCTTGATTGTCATGTTAAGGACTATAGGAGAAACGTTCACGTCCCATATGCATATCAGATACTAGAATATCGTTGGGATACTGAAAACTGTGTTGTGCACTTGTGCTTGGTCATATTCATGCTTCGAGGAGTCTACCATGTGACGAAGTGGAGATGAAGAAATCTAATAGCACATTAACCGAGCCTTTGGTCTCATCAGACTATGATATATCTTCTATCACAAAACGGCCTCATGCAATTTGAAGGTCCTCGCCTGAACTAAGCAAATGTTAGATGATTCGTGGATCTGATTTCTCGAAGGAAGAGAAGATGGAGCTTGCATCAAAACAATGAGGTATCTCATGGCTATTCTGGATGAAATACTACGGTTCACCTGAACGCAAAAGCATAGAATCAGTATTAAAAATTGCAGGCCACTGATAATTTGAGGCAACAAATTTGCGATGACAGGTTATCACAACGGAAAATCAGCTCGCTTGCAAGCAATAAATGGAAGGCTCTTGATGCGTCGTACAACTCATTTACAAACAAAAGTGCACTCCTACAAGTTGAATACTGAAGAAAATGACAATATACAAAAGGCAAAATAAGTTAAACTGCGCTGCCTATGCACTACAAATGAAACCTAATGCAATGTTAAGCAACGCCAACGGATCTGCAACACTCGTACAAGCAGACAGAAGATGTCTACGAGCTTCTAAATAGAATGATGGATACACTGAAACGATAATCATTCGCACAGATTTTATTGTCAAATATTCTAAAATGCCTCGTACATGCATTACAGCATGCATAATAATTCATGCAAACATGTCAAGCATCACAAGAAACATTATGCTATAACAATGCATCACATTTACATGCCAATATATTGCACATGCATAAAGTCGCAACATGCAAAATGCATCATAACAAATGTGTCATTCAATTTAAAGGATGTATTGTGCACATACACATTGCAACATACAAAATGTATTACGCAAGCACACTATTCAGCATGAAAAATGTATTGTGCAGCAATAGCGTTCCCCAGTGGCATGCAAATACATTATGCACTACATGCGAGCACCAAATTATCATGCAAATATATCATGCGAACAAATAAACAATGTGTAGATACATTATACATGCATGTTATGCAAATGTACTATGCACTATGTTAATGCACTAGGCCACTATATTGCATATCAAGCATTTCATGCAAAAATGCAAATGCATGTGCCAAAACATATGCATGCATGCAAATGCATAAATACACACATAAGCACATTAGCATATAAGTGGGAATATAGGTGTATGTGCTAATATGCACATTGATCATACACACCCATTGTAATGCGTGTATACAGTCACTAATAAAAACACATTATGCAAACTGCATGCAAAAATATATATCGGCATGAGCCTGAACGAGTGTGTTGCAGGTACACGTGGTGTCTGAGGATGCTGTGTGGGTTAAAAAAATGAATTTAAATTCAAATTTGATCCTCTGCCAGCAAGTAGACATAGTCGTGTCCATAAAAATCTCGATGATGACCATGCTAACAGAAAATATCAACCGAAGGGGACCACAAACATTTAAAATACCTCCCAAATGCACATAAAATTTTAAAATTTCAAAAATATCATAGTTTAAGATATTTAAAATTAAAATTAATTATCAAACACTTAAAGCAAAATATACATCCACCCTTCGTAAAAGTTTGTCGGGATAGACAAATTAAAAATCACTTCAACTCGCAAAGAGTTAACGTCTGGTCGAGAATATCACTAGGATTCATTCTCAATCAGTCTATTTCTAGCAAGAACGTGGCACGTGTCCTCTAACATGTAGTTTCGTCGTCAAATAACACCACACTGATGGTTTCACCACTAAATGGCACCAAAGGTAAACGGTTATGATCGAGACCCTCTGATCAGGTGGTTTTGCCGCCAAATGGCAGTATAACACCATTAAATTACGGTCATGGTCAAAGCCCATATATTCCCCAACGGCATCAAATCCTTGAGTAATGAATCAATAGGATATAATCGATAGAGTACAAAGCCCTGTGTTAGCTAAGGTGGACTCAAATTTATCCCCTTAGACAGATATTCACCAAAGATCTACAAGGTACCCTTGGAAGAAGTAACACATGGCTGCCGAAAAGAATTTTTTTGTCAGGTTGGGTCGACTACCTCCTCTGACTAAGTAGACCAGGAACCATGATGGATCACGAAGAAGGAACCATGGGATCTTAATCGGATTCATCATCATTCCCCCACCATCCGCTTTAAGTATAGGGTGGTGAATTTTTAATTTTCAATATCAAATTTTCAAAAACCTAAATCATGTTGTTATTATACGCCATATACTTGTTTGTTTGACGAATAGCCTTAATCAAAAGTTCTCTCTCATTATCGAGAGGGGTAATTAACTATAGGAGCTTGCGCCTATAGAACTCATATTATAAAGTCCTCGCAAAATGAGGGTGAAATCTATGGGTAGTGTCTTATTTAAAACTCAATCTGTATTTTGAATATTTGTCTTGAAACTTACTCATTAAAACTCTCCACGATGACCCGAAACAAAAAAAAAAAAAAAGAAAGAAGTCCGCGGAGAGGTTGGGCGCAAATTTTCAGAACCCACATTAAGATAAGTACCGTTTAGATGCCCTGGCTAGGCGATAGTGTGTCAAAGTCAAACATAACTATCATTCTTTGAACTGTGTTCGGAAAGACAATTTGAAGTCAGGAAAGACAATTCAACTCGCAATAGCCTTAGAAGATCCAAATTCTTACCATCTTACCTTTCTTTTCCGTTCGCATTTATTTTTGCTCCATTCGGCAAAGACGGTATCTTCTGCTATTCAATGAATATGATCAAATAACTCAATGAATATGATCAAATAACCAAGTTGTTTTCCTAAAACATGTTATTGATGTGTTAAGACAACTTTGTAGCAACGCAGTCAGGAAAAGACTGATACAGTCTTCTTCTGTAAAAGATATAAAGTACCACCTTTGCTAGAAACACATTAGCTGATCCTAGTTGCATGATTAGCGTGCAATGTGCTAATTTTACAAAAAAAAAATTGTGCAAGGTGAGAACCTCTCATAAGAAAACAATGTCAAGTTGATTAGTACTAGATTTATAAAATAGAATGAGATAGAAGAACCCAAATACTTGTATAAGGTTAGCATGGAGATGAACGAGACAAAAGGTGAAAGGCACAAAATTAATCACCAAAATAAATAAATACAGACCTCTGGTATTTTCACATTCAATTCCTCAGAAAGCTGATCAATTGATGTATTGGCATCAACATCAAATGTTCCATCCTCCTGCATTACAATATAACCCGTCTTCTTCTGGATCTCCTCCTGCATAATGCCTTAAATTTTATATCATGCGCTTCATAAATGGCATAGAAAACTCATAAATCCAAAAAATAAATAAATTCTTCTAACAGAACAATAAAATTTAGTGACTGTAGAAGGGCTTCCAATGACATATGAAAGGCACTATAGATATAGACCAATAAAATTCTCTTCTTTTTTTTTTCTCTCGGCACTCTATATATAGTGATCACTACTTATCTACTTCTCGGACCCTCTCTCAATCCTATCTCAAGTACAGAAAAAAAAGAGAAGGTGATCAAGCCTTTGATATATGAAAAGAAGGTGATCTAGGGTTATATCCACTGTTTTTTTACTTCATTACCAACCTGTATGGGCAACATTTAGAAGGCTAAATATCTGTAAACTTCAAGAGACCAATATTTGAAGTTGAACTTAAGGACGCCTTTCAAAAGGCAAACTAAGAGGCAGACTATCAGGAGGCTAACCTAAAGTCTACCACATAGAGAAGAAGTGATCGAACACCTTGCACATGGCTGGCATTAATAACTTTTTCCATGATGATTTAACTAGCAAGCAGAGGTCACTTTTACTAGCAACTGCAGATTCATTTATCATGATTCAATAGTTAAGTCTTTTTGAACTTGCAAAATCCGTTTTACAATAGAAACGCAACAACTAAATAGTTTGCACAAAAACTAAGGAATTTTGTTAACATTACTTGCATGATACAAAATAGAAGTATACTTTCAGCAATATCAAGAACAATGAAATCATCAAATGAAAGAAATGCACAAATGTAAGAAAATGTTCATCAACAAACTTCGGAGCAATGATTTTCACCTTAGAATCATTTTCATCAAAAATTTCACCAACAATTTCTTCAACAACATCCTCCAAAGTCACGATCTGCATTGGATTAGAAAATAAAGTTAAACTGACGCAAGAAAAGGTTATCTAGACCAAAAAAAACACAACATGAAGCGTACATTCAACTTTAGTAACAAATTTGAGGATCTACATCACCAGCCGTTTTATTACAGCAGTTCCGTTTTCATAATGAGGAATTGGATTTACTATCCCTATTGAGTTTTCTTAATTTCTGTGTGGCTAGAGCCCATTTCCATCCTACATGTTTCGTCTTATATCTAAAACTTTTGAATGCTAGAATTTACTTAAAAGTCATTGGCAATATGAAAAGTAACTTTCATTATCCGTTAGTTATTTTAAATGTTAGTCATTCTAATTTGTGACCATAGTCCAAATATACAAAAGGAAAATGGGTTCAAATCTTCAAAAACTTTCTCTTTCCCTCTTGAAAACCCATAAAGGAAAGGTTTCTTCCTGCGGCGCATAAACTACTTTAGGAGCTATTAATAAGTTGATGGTTGCCCTCATGTAATAAAACTCTGACTGACTGACAGAATTTGTAGTAAAGTGTAATAGATTTCTTCCTAAATTTCTCATCCTTATTCTTAAATGGAATCAAAGTCAGATTATTACTTCACCAGAGGGAGATGGGTAACAACAGGCATGCCCTCACCAAGCCTCACTTTGATCCAAATGGTTGTACATTTGAGGAAAATTTGATATATTGACGGTACCATAACGAACCTTGATCCAACAGATCTTTCCTATACAATTGGGGATACTAACACAATGGATTAGTGATGTCTTGGCTCATCATCTCCATGAAAAAGCATATTCGTTCTCTATATGTCATACAGCACAATAATAAGAAATTAGTGAAAGACACGGAGAATGGAAGATATTGGTGTGGTTAATGCATGAGCTCCTCCACTAAGTACTGAATGATTGAAATATCATTATATTGTCTTGCATTTTCATGCAATCCTCACATAATCCTATTATTTTCATATTTATTTTATATGATTATGTTATTTCCTTTATGTTTGTGTTTGTGTTAAAATTACTATAAGTATGAAAAAGGAGAGAATTATTATTCTTTATATAATTCACTATCTTTTACCATTTTTATGGCTCTTAAAATTCTTCATGAACTAAATCCTATAAAGAGCCATGGAATTATATGTTGCAAAGCACTACATTTTTAAATACATTTGAGATAACTCTCTTTTATTTCAAATTTAGCTTTTGGCAGGTTTGCTATATCTTCCTTTGGTAAGGTTGAGAGTGATAACCATCATGTAATGATGGTGAGGTGGTTATCCGACTACTTCAGAGCGAGTTTTCTATTGCTTCTTGTGCTCTTCTTCCCCAACACTTCAAGATTATATAGCATCACTTAATCAATTTAGTCTGGAAAAAATGCAAAAACAATAGGGAAGAAGTCAAGATGGATTATTCTAATCATGAAAATTAAGCATTAATGCCATAATGCATCTTAGGAGCTCACAACTCATTATAATGAAGCTCTGAAATTGATCTGACGAGGTGCTTCCTTATCTTTTCTGCATCAATAAGTCTCTCTTTTGATGCAGAGAAGCTCACAACTCATCTTTTGAAGAAAATAAGGAACAATCCTTGGTTTTTCGGAATGTGCTCTTGTTGAACTTGTAACTCAAGGTAATGGTTCTTCCCCATCAAGAAAGAAGATGAGGTTTGATCCAAAACATTCTTAGTTTGTGTAGATGAAGAAAATTGTCAAGGTTAGCTAGAGACTACCAAATATGTGCATGATGATCAAAGGAATGTTCAGCTTCACGAGCTAGCTAGGCTCAAGGATTGTCATCCATGTTCCTTTAGACGAAAAGGTTAGAGTATGTAAGTGTCGTGATGGCAGGATTAAAAATTTTATATATCAATATCATTTTGATGGTGACCATATTTTTAGTGATTTATGCTGATTTCATTATTTACTTTCTTTTTTAATAAATGGAATTCATCAACTAATGAGTGGTTGAGGGAGAAATGAGGACAAACTAGAGGAGTCTTAAGGTGCAGACTTGGGTGGCCAAAGATTTGGCTAGAATTCAAGATGAGTTGACATGGAGGAAAGAAATTATTCACCAAGTAAAGATAAATTGAATTCATCTTTAATCTGAATGAGTCCAATTTCAAATAATAGAAAAGTGAGGAAAGCTTTAGGAGGAACTGGCTAGTTTTACCAAAACACAAGAGGAAGCTCCTTGTCATAAATTAGGGATAACCCATGGTGACTTAAAGTTACAAGAACCTTCATTTGATAATTTGGAACTCAATTTTAATGAAATGGACATAACTAGTGTAGAAGCTACTTATATGATAAGGGATTATCTTTCATTGATAATAACTGCGAAAAAATTTCACACTTGGCATCTCCTAGAGAATCATTCCTTCTAAATATTTTAATTTATACATTCCATGCTGCATGATGGTAGCAACAACATAATGATCTCCTATAAAGAAAAAAAAAAACTTGTTCTAAATATATCTTTACATACTACTTCCAAGCTACAAAGAACCAAGCCTTCAACTAGGATATAACAAGGTTTAAACCTTAAATTATATTGGTGAGGTGCTGTTTTGAACAAAACCACATATCATGATTTTAGGAGTACTACTAGATTTTGACAGTTTTCTTAATCATTGTTGGTGGCATCAAATTTTTACCCATTAAGCTACGCATCTCAAGGTCCATCAAGATTATTACTTTCAAACCAAACCAAAAGTTAAAGGGCATTTCTCCTGTTGGAGTTTATTTTGTTGTGAAATGGACCCAAATAACAAGAGATAGCTCCCAGAACCATTGCCCATCCCCAAACTATTCTAAGCATGTTTTGATATTTTTTGAAAGAGTGCGGTTAGTCATTTCCATTTGTCCATTTGTTTGAGGATTCGTTATAACCATAGGCATGTACAATAATTTAATGTGTTGCTCTTACCAAATTTTAGTAAAAGAACTTTCCAATAATTAATTGTGTTATATTATCGATGATAAGTGTTACCATGAAGCCAAAGCAAAAGGCAATTATTCTAAATAAATTGCTTGGCATTAACTTATGACATCTTCGAGAGCAACTTTAGACTTGACCCACTTGGAAAAATAGTCTCCTCTAAGTATTATACATTTTCAACATCCAATGGTGATTGCAAAATTAGACATAATGTTCATTTTCCATTGAGTAAAAGGATAAAGGCTTTGAATGAAGTGTGCCACGGATGGGAAATCAATAATAATTGAATGAATTTAATAACTTTTGCTGAGCTCAATTGAATCTTGTTTGAGTAGATCTAAAACCGAATATATAGAGTGAAATTTAATAGTAATAGATTTAGTGTGGGGATTTTGACTTTGGACGATCAAGTCATTAAAAAGAGTACACATTTTAGAAATCTCTAGTCTATTGTTCAAAGTGATGGTGAAATAGATGGGGATATTATTAGTAGAATTCAAGTTGGATGGTTGAAGTGGAGGAATGTAACGGGGGCCTATTGTGTAACAAAAAAGTACCTCTCAAATTTTAAGGGAAATTTTTATAAGATGGTGGTAAGACCTGCAATACTTTATGGCGCAAAATATTGACCATTAAAAGATAAGTATAAAATTAAGTTAAGAGTTGTAGAGATGAGGATGTTCAAGTGGATTACTGGCTTCACTATTAGAGACAAAATGTGAAATGAGTGTATATGTGTGAAAGTTTGAGTAGCTCTGGGGGCAGATGAGAATAGAAGCCTTTTAGCTCTAGGAAATATATTCAGTCTCATTCCAAGCTTTAGACAAAGGTTCGCTAACATAAAACATTGGCCTTTTGATGACCCGGTTAGGAGAGTAGATGTATTAAATTTAGCTTATTTTAAGAAAGGTAGAGGTAGGCCTAAAAGGCTTGGTTATAAAGTATTAGAAATGACATTTTTTATTAGATTTAAATGAGAATTTGACTCTAAACATAACACAATGGAGAAAAAAGATTCATATAGCCGATCCCACATAGTGAGATAAAGGCTTGATGTTGATGTTGATGTTGTTGTTATTAATTGAATCTTATTTCATAGTGATTTAGTAGAATCCTTACCTAAAAAGTTTGAAGGCAAGCCCAAATAGTAATTGCTTCTTCCAAATTTAACTTTATGAAAGGTGTGCTCGTGTCTGATGGAGGCATACCCTAGAGATAGGGTTCTAAGAAGTCCCTTTTTGACAGTACATCATTGATCAGAGAAAAATTTGTTCTATTTTTGCAAAGCTAAACAGTGGATTAATCGCCAAGTATTACACCATCACAAGTAAGGAAACAATCGATCTATTCATGAAGGTGCTCAAGTAGTATCAAGGGTGTTTAATTCTCATGATCGATAATCAGATAGTGGATGCCCTCAATGAGTCCCTTTATACTGAGCACTTGCAAGTCAAGTGGCAAACTTAGAGAGAGCATCAACTAAAGTTTTTGCTCTTTAAGGTTGTACATTATTTGGAGGGTTTCGAGCTTGTTTGGCGAGTGCTTCACCAAATCAAAAAATTACATTAGCTATTGATTTTGAGTATTGAAGCCACTTTGAATTCATAAGGTAAAAAGCAAGAGCAATATGAATTAAGAGGTTTAAGACTCCATAACTACTAGTTAGTCCGAGGCCAACTATGATTTTCTCGTACTCAGCAACATAATTGGTGGCATTGAAATTCAAATATAACCCAAATTCTAAGGCGATGCCTAATGAATAACTAAGCAAGAATCTACCACTACCATCAATATAAAGAATCTATTGTGGTGATTGAACTTTGAAGTTGAAGGATTGGGGTTGACAAGAAGGGTGCATTATTGGATAAATTATGTAAGAACATGTGATTTGATGTTAAGATGAGAAAGAAAATGGATATCAAATTCCCTCAAGTCAATTGAATACTTGACCAAACTTAGTAGCAGGAGTTGTGTAAAGTCCTACAAAATCAGCATTGACATAAAGGCATAACTTTTTGGTAGCAAGGCAATATACCTGGACCATATAGTTGA